CTGCATCCCTGCCTTCCTGAGTGCTTCCCTGCCTGATTCCCTACGTGCATCCCTGCCTTCCTGCATCCTTGCCTGCATCCCTGCCTGCATCACTGCATCCCTGCCTTCCCGAGTGCATCCCTGCCTGCTTCCCTGCCTTCTGCCTGCTTTCCTGCCTGCATCCCTGCTTCCCTGCCTGCATCCTTGCCTGCCTCCCTGCTTCCCTGCCTGCCTCCCTGCTTCCCTGCCTGCATCCCTGCTTCCCTGCCTGCATCCTTGCATCCCTGCCTGCCTCCCTGCATCCCTGCCTGCCTCCCTACCTTCCTGAGTGCAGCATCCCTGCCTTCATCTCTGCCCATGCACAGCAAGTCACATGGCAAGTCTACACAGCAAGTGTAGGCACATCTGGAGCTCTCACGCCACGTGAGATTGATCCCTGCCCTTGCAAACAGAGCTGAGACTTTGAAGCGCCCCTGAACGGGACTGCAGAGGAGCAGCTCCATGCCCTGCACTGAGCAATCCACGTGTGGGACATTTCTGAGGACACCTGCAAGCCCAGTGAGCACCTGGGTGAGGCTTCATGCTCAGGAGGGCTGGGGACCACTGCCCCAAAGCACAGCATGAACCAACCCCACAGCTGCCCCTGCCTCCCTGTCCCTCACCCCTGGCACCAACCAACCCCAGAGCAGCTGCCACCACCAGTGGGGACCCCCAAAGGAGGGACCAGCCCCCCCCAGGCACACAGAGCCAGGCAGGATCTGCAGCCCTGCACCTCATGCAAAGCACGGCACACACACAACCAAACCCAAACCACCCAACCCAGCGTGCTGCTGGTCTGGGGCACATCACCGTGGGCACAGCCCAGCCTGGGCACTGCCTGCTGCCAGGGACAGAGCTCCCCACCCTTCCAAAACGAACCAGGAATGCTTTAGGAAGCAGCACAGCAGGTTCCCACACCCAAAGACAGCACCTGCAGCTTTTCACTTGGGTTCACAACGGGTTACAGGGGCAAGTTAGCGCGGGAGCAAAAGCAGAGGAGGGCAAGAGGTGGCACCACGGGCACCTGGCAGGTCCTCAGCGTAGCAGTACACGTCATACATGTCCTCAGGGTCCACCACGCCGTAGTTCCTCACCCCTGGGAAGCCGTTCATGTCCCCGTAACAGGCCTCCCGGGGGGTCTGGATGGGGTACCTGGGGCAGAGAGCACAGGGGAGCTGGTGACACCCTGGGGAATGGGTGGGAGCAGTGCCAAGGTGTTACAGCCAAACAAACTCCAAGGGAGCACACACAGAGGTGTTACAACCAAACAAACTCCAAGGGAGCACACACAGATGTGTTACAACCAAACAAACTCCGAGGGAGCACACACAGAGGTGTTACAACCAAACAAACTCCAAGGGAGCACACACAGATGTGTTACAACCAAACAAACNTACAACCAAACAAACTCCGAGGGAGCACACACAGAGGTGTTACAACCAAACAAACTCCAAGGGAGCACACACAGATGTGTTACAACCAAACAAACCCAAAGGGAGCACACACAGATGTGTTACAACCAAACAAACCCAAAGGGAACACACACAGAGGTGTTACAACCAAACAAACACTGAGAGAGCACACACAGAGGTGTTACAACCAAACAAACTCAGAGGGAGCACACACAGAGGTGTTACAACCAAACAAACTCCAAGGGAGCACACACGGATGAGTTACAACCAAACAAACACTGAGAGAGCACACACAGAGGTGTTACAACCAAACAAACTCCAAGGGAGCACACACAGCTGTGTTACAATCAAACAAACTCAAGAGAGAGCACACACAGAGGTGTTAGAGTCAAACAAACTCCAAGGGAGCACACGCAGATGTGTTACAGCCAAACAAACAACAAGGGAGCACACACAGATGTGTTACAACCAAACAAACCCAAAGGGAGCACACACAGATGTGTTACAGCCAAACAAACTCCAAGTGAGCACACACACAGGTGTTACAACCAAACAAACTCAGAGGGAGCACACACAGAGGTGTTACAACCAAACAAACTCGGAGAGAACACACACAGATGTGTTACAGCCAAACAAACTCCAAGGGAGCACATACAGAGCTGTTCCAACCAAACAAACTCGGAGAGAACACACAGAGGTGTTACAGCCAAACAAACTCCAAGGGAGCACACACAGATGTGTTACAACCAAACAAACTCCGAGGGAGCACACACAGATGTGTTACAACCAAACAAACCCAAAGGGAGCACACACAGAGGTGTTACAACCAAACAAACTCAGAGGGAGCACACACAGATTTGTTACAATCAAACAAACTCAGAGAGAGCACACGCAGATGTGTTACAATCAAACAAACTCAGAGGGAGCACATACAGATGTGTTACAACCAAACAAACTCAGAGAGAGCACACACAGAGGCGTTACAACCAAACTCAAAGGGAGCACAGCCAGAAGAGCACTGACAACAGGATTACAACAGTTTATAAAGGGGGCAGTTCAGGGGAGGAGACTGCCTACAAACCATTCAGGAGCTAGCAAGGAGGAGCATGGGTGTCACAGACATATTTTATGAAAAATCCTTTTGCCAGGATTTTTTCTCCTGAGAAGCCTCAGAGGAAAAGAAAAACAATTATTATCTGCTGCTGTGGAATGCAACAGGTGCATCTTTGATTGGTCTCATGTGGTTGTTTTTAATTAATGGCCAATCACAGTCCAGCTGTCTCGAACTCTCTGGTCAGTCACAAGATTTTATTATCATTCCTTTTTATTCCTTGCCAGCCTTCTGATGAAATCCTTTCTTCTGTTCTTTTAGTATAATTTTAATATATCCTTTTAATATGATATGATATGATTGATATAACGTAACATAACATAATGTAACATAATATATATCATGAAATAATAAATCAGTCTTCTGAAACATGGAGTCACAATTCTCATCTCTTCCCTCATCCTGGGACCCCTGCGAACACCACCACACATGGGGTGGACTCACATCAACCAAACACCAATGAGGAAGAAGGAGGGAGGAGTGAATACATAATCAGCAAATGGGTGAAGGGAAACAGCATGACTGACATAGAACTTTCTGGCTAAAGGGGTGTAAAAAACCATCACTGACAAACTGCAGGGGATGGGTTTAGAGGATTGACAAGGGGGAGTTTGGAGACATGGGAGGGGTGGAGGAGATTGACATGGGGGTTGATATAAGGGAAAAATATGGGGTAACAACTTCTGGGAAGAACCCTTTGGGAAACTGAACAGAGGGGTACGGAACGAACCGTTTTTCTAACATAGAAAAATCTAACACATTAAAATTAAACAATTAAAACCCAAAAGCAAACCACAACAGGGCGAGGCACAGGAGGTGCCCACCTGACGGTCTGGTCGGCGATCCAGCCGGCGTCACACTGCTCGTAGCCCCCCAGGTAGGCGGCGTAGAGCTGCTCGGGGGTGGCGATGCTGGCACCGATCCTGGCACAAGCCTCCTGCGCCTCGGAGAAGGTGTAGGCGTAGCGCATGGAGCCCTCCCGGTAGTGGAACACCACCCCTGCGGGCACACGCGGATGTGGGCGAGGGGCTTCATGGCAGCCCCCCACAAATGCACCCAGGATGTGGCTGCAGCTCTCTCCACAGAGAAACCCTTCCCAGGATTTCTCCTAGGGAAGGCAGTGAGAGAGCTCAGGGAAGGGAATGAAAACAATTCTTATCTCTGCGTGCTGCTCGTGTTGTTTGGAACACGCGGAATGTGTTATGGGGATTGTGTACAGGAAGGGGTTTGTTAATTAGACACTGGCGATGGTTGTTTGAATTGATTGACCAATTAGGGCAAAGCTGTGTTGTGGCTGTTGGAAAAGGGTCATGGGTTTTTATTTAGTATTAATATAGTATAGTATAGTATAGTATAGTATAGTATAGTATAGTATAGTATAGTATAGTATAGTATAGTATAGTATAGTATAGTTTGAGTGTAGTATAATACAGTTATAATAGCTTATAAAGCAATTAGTTAATAAACAATTGCTTAATAAACTAATATAAAACAATTAGTTAATAAATTAATTGCTTAAAGCAATTGTTTAATAAACTAATAAACTAATAAACTAATTGCTTACAAAGCAATTAGTTAATAAACAATTGCTTAATAAACTAATATAAAGCAATTAGTTAATCAACTAATTGCTTAATAAAGCAATTGTTTAATAAACTAATAAACTAATTGCTTATAAAGCAATTGGTTCATAAACAATCAATAAAGCAATTATTTCATAAACAAATAAAGTTTATTATGAAGCTTATAGTTTACTATAGCATAGTGTAGCATAGTATAGTTTGTGTAGTAGAATACAGTTATAATAGTTTATAAAGCAATTGGTTAATAAACTAATATAAAGCATTTGGTTAATCAACTAATTGCTTAATAAAGCAATTACTTAATAAACCAATAAACTAATTGCTTATAAGGCAATTGTTTAATAAACTAATAAAGTTTATTATAAAGCTTATAGTATAGTATAGCAAAGTATAGTATAGTTTGAGTGTAGTATAATACAGTTATAATAGCTTATACAGCAATTATTTAATAAACTAATTGCTTAATAAACTAATATACAGCATTTAGTTAATAAACTAGTTGCTTAATAAAGCAATTGTTTAATAAACTAATAAAGTTTATTATAAAGCTTATAGTATAGCATAGCAAAGTATAGTATAGTTTGAGTGTAGTATAATAAAATATCTTATAAAGCAATTGTTTAATAAACTAATATAAAGCAATTAGTTAATAAACAATTGCCTAATAAAGCAGTTATTTAATCAGCTAAGACACTAATTGCTTATAAAGCAATTATTTAATAAACATATGCTTATAAAGCAATTATTTAATGAACAATTGTATAATAAAGCAATTAGTTAATAAACTAATAAACCATTGCTTAATAAAGCAATTGTTCAGCCTTCTGAAATCGCTAGAGTCATTGCACGTTATTCCCCTGCTGGAGACTGTCCTGCTACAATACCCACGGGAGCGTTTGCTGAGCCAGGAGAGGGCCCCTGGCTGCCCCCAATGCCACCTCTGCCCACCCTGTGGTACCTTTGACTTGGACATGGAGGATGTCGTGGCCATCCTCATTAAGCAATTGTTTAATAAACTAATAAACCATTGCTTAATAAAGCAATTGTTCAACCTTCTGAAATCACTAGAGTCATTGCACGTTATTCCCCTGCTGGAGATCGTCCTGCTACAATACCCACGGGAGCGTTTGCTGAGCCAGGAGAGGGCCCCAAGTTGCCCTAAACTCCACCTCTGCCCACCCTGAGGTACCTTTGACTTGGACATGGAGGATGTCGTGGCCGTCCTCATTAAATAATTGTTTATTAACTAATTGCTTAATAAAACAATTAGTTAATAAACTAATAAACCATTGCTTAATAAAGCGATTGTTCAGCCTTCTGAAATCGCTAGAGTCATTGCACGTTATTCCCCTGCTGGAGATTGTCCTGCTACAACACCCAGGGCAGCATTTGCTGAGCCAGGAGAGGGCCCCAAGTTGTCCCAAACTCCACCTCTGCCCAGTCTGAGGTACCTTTGACTTTGACGTGGAGGATGTCGTGGCCGTCCTCGATGCCGTGCTGCACGTCGCAGCGGTAGATGCCCGAGTC